GCTGATTTCATCCATCATAGGACTTCAAAAAGTAAAGGACCACAGAAAAACTGTACAAAGTGAAATATTAGCGAACCCGAAGCGGTAAAAATAATGATTTTTCTACTTATTTTATAATGGCTTGGCTTAGTCGGGCATATTTACTTTACATCCAACCGCAAACGATTTTTTGAGGCTTCAGCTCCTAATTTTGATCTCTCTACTACTTTGCGACCTCTTCAGCTTCTCATTACTTTGATTTATGATTTGTCACTTTTTCAAAGAATTTTTTTGCCTTATTAGCTAGAATCATGTCGCTTATCTTACACATGCAACAAAACACATGCCATTTCAAGAATCAGTTTCTACCCTGTCAGCTGATGAAATGCGCGTCATGAGCATGACGTGCTCGAGCCCATACCCCGCAACAGCCCTGTATTTCTTCTTCGCGTGCTACTACACCTCGCTGTCATGATTACGACATCCGAACCCCGTGACATCTTCGCAACTCACCCGCGATCTTCGATCAGTTAACATTACAAGATGTTCGCACGGAGAGATACGAGGTGATGCGAGATACCTGGATGCGGCACAAATCGCGCTCGTTACATGTTGATGTCGTAACGTACAGTGTTTGCCACCTCTGAATTGTTGGGGGTCAATGAGGCAAGAGTTGATTTTTTCATCTATACTTGTAAAGATCAAGCAAATTTAAGCTAAGTAAGAAGCAATTTAGTTCAACTTACTTTCGTCAAAATGCAACGAAGTCACATAAAGTGGTTAGATCAATCAAAGAATGAGCAAAGAACTTGTCTGCATCCACCAATAACAAATTGACGAACTGGAATTCATGCGAAGTCAAGAACTATGTAAATAGATACCCATCAAGCCAATTGTAATAAATGATGATAATAAATGTGATTTCAGATCGAAATTGGTTTTACATTGTAACACTTGTCATAATAATGCTAATGAATCTTTGCAATGGAGTCTATCAAAACTCGATCTATGGAGTTGTAGCGGATTTTCCGGACAACTATCCCAACTCGCTAATTATTGGTAATAACATATGTGGCATATTCACAAGCGTGATGAGCATATTCACGACCATTGGTGGGCTGTTTTTTCTTTATTAAACAAAAAACTTCAGCATCTAATCTTTTGTATAATTTAGTGTCTCCTGATAGCATAATGCTCAACGCTCTACTCTACTTCTCCATTTCTTTGGGAATTCTCATTATTTGTGGACTATCACTCATCGTTCTAGTTAAACTGGTAAATTGTCTTAGAAAATGGTTACACTCTTTTAGATATAAGTAACTTTGATCTCAACTCATCCTTTCCCAAAATTTTCTATTTTCAAAATGCTGGCAACATTTGCTTAGATTTCCACTGAAAGCATCATGTCAGTGTTAACACATTTTAGGGTCTGAAAAAAAAACAGTTCTTTCTTAATGTTGGATTTGAAAAATGGTCAAAATCAATGGTATCCAAGGAGTAATTTGGCATGCACGGATTGAAATGTCCGTTACTTTATTCCAATCTTCTTTACAGAGAACAACTTGTCCACCAATATTGCATTCATTCTATATTTAGACTTAAGCAACAAAAAGGGCATGACTGCAATTAGCGCCTAAGTAAATAAGATAGATAAGCTCCAAATTGCTCTGGGATCTTATTTAAAGAACCGACAATGACTCTTTTTGTTCTGTAGTTTACAGTACACACTGTGACTGGCAAAAGTGTAATGCATGTAGACTGTCTGATGTGTATACTCAACCTTGCGCAAATATATAAACTCGCAAAAAGTGGGAATTTCTAGGTTAAGGATACTTATATCATTCAAACTGTGTACTCATTCATTGGAATACCCTGCATTTTAACTTCAAAAGCATTGGCAAAACCTTACTTTGCAGCCATATTACCGTTATGTCACGGAAATTGGTGAACGTGCTCGTCGAAATGACCATGCTGAACGACCCAGTGTAAAACAGTACCTCGAATGTCTTAGCTATGTAAGTAGATGATTGGAGGTAGGTTACCACATAGACTTCTCGTCAACGGTTTCAAATTAGTATTTGGAGAAAACCAACCAAATAGTTTTGAACGAAATTTCCTAGAATACTGACTGAACCATGACGGGTTGAGGTTCGGTAGAACAAAGAACTAGAGAAAATTTGTAAAAAATGCGCAGTGTAAAACTGGTTAAAATATTACATTAAGAGAAAATGTCGCTTGAATAGATAGTGAAAAAATCATACTAAAAACGATAAAAAAAGAATAAAAAATTTTGGGCAAAAATAAATATTATTTCGACATATGAATGAGAATTTATGTACTTAAAATTTCACACGGATAACGACACTCCCTTTAATCCCTTGACCATTAGTACCAAACTTCTGCTTTCTATCCAAT